TTTTTTTTTTTTTTTTTTTTTTTAAATGAGGAGACAGATGCCTTCAATCTAGTAATTTGGTCATTACAGAGAAGATGCAGTAACAAATTACGACCATCCAATATTCAAATGATACGTGAGAAACAGGAAATTGACGAAGCATATTCTTAAACATCTGTAAAAACAAATGTGTTCTATACGAGTGGTAGAGAGTAAAAAAAAGATTGAAAACTAACATTTTTGCGATTTCTAGATGGCAAATTATCTTTGGAATCAAATGGTAAGAAACCGAGGACAACGTGAGAATCTACACGACCCGTAAGCATTTTATGTCCGAGCAAACGTTCCATTAATCCCTCTCGTTGCATAAAAGCATAACATGACGAATCATCATTCTGATGACGTTCCAAATCTTCACGTGTAAGTCCAGAAGTACTCCGTTTAGGTGGGCTACTACTGACGTTAGCCATCACACCACTTGGGCCTGCTTCATCGACATCATCTTGGGCTTAAAATAATATTGAAAAGATTGACCTTATTAAAAACATTCAATTCTAAGAATGACGATTAGATTTTAAAAAAGTATTAAATCTTCTTAGTATAAAATTCCATTTCTGAATAACTACTGCAGAAGAGCTCTTTTTGCAACAAAAGTCGCAAGAAAGCATAAATAGTAATCTCCTCCGGCCACTACGGTCACTTCTCTTCCAATAAGACTGCATAAAAATACAAGGAAACTGCACAAAATATATAACGAAAATAAGTATATATGTAAGGCTTACGCGCATCTTTTTTCCGTTCCTTAGGAGGATTCACCATAGAATCTAATATCCGATCAAAAAGTTCGCCAGGTTTCGATTTTCTTGAATGTGTAGAAGTTTGCTGGTGGTCCTGTGTAGTCCTGAAATAAAGCAAATTTCTCGATTAGTGGCAAATTTGACACCAAGTGATTGCTGGAAAGAAGTAAAATTCCATTTTGAATCAGCAATCGAATCGTTTCAATTTCGAAACTAATAAAATCAATGCTGATTAACTCTAATTAAGACTAAAATTATACGCAATGATTTTGCGGCAAGAGAATACCTTTGGTAAGTCGCATACATAGGCAAATCACTTAACTAATCTCAATTGAATAAAGATATGACTAACTTCTTCTTGGTGGGCGGAACGATGCGACTAGAAAATGCTGAATCATTCTTGCGAACCGAAGACGTCGAAGCAAGTGGAGAACGTGAATCTGAATGACCTCCTAAACGAAGTCGTTTTGCCTGGAAAAAAGATCGATAAATCTGACAAATGATAAGATTAGAATATTTATGAATTTCTAAATTATTTTAGTGAATATCCCAATAATTACACCAATGATTTAATTCCTTTTCAGAAAACAGAGACTTTGAAACAGGTAGGAAGACATAACAAAATAACTTTTGGGTTGGATTCTTTAACATCGTGTTGTTGGGACAAGATAAACCACAAACCATTCCTTGTCTAAATTTATAATAAAAAGAATGAAAAGTGTTTACCAATCAATCTTAGCCATTGCGAGCAGCTAAAATTACAATCATTGAATCCAAATCACTGAAGAAAAATTTGTTAACTTTTACCCCTCCCAGTCCTTTTTTTTACCTCCTTTTTGACTTTCAACATCTATCTTGAACCACGAAATTTCTTCTACAGCTTTCTAAATATTACTTCGTTTAGGAGTTTCTAAATATTACAGGAAAGAACATATCATTACTACAAATAAAAACTAATTTATTTTACACATTTTTCCATATCGATGCAACACTGTACGAAGCCCAAAAATAAATTTACACTCTGTGAACGGAAAAGTTATGCCGGTATGCTTACCTTATCCGGTATACCATCCGCTATACTGTTTTCACCAGCTCTCCGTCTTGGAATTCGAAATGGACGTGTGAGTTCATTAGTGCCTATGTCCATTGTTAACAATACATCATAGTCAACTTTATATTTCTGAAATGTTAGAAAGTAGGTTTGCACAGAAAAAGATAGTGGGCAAAAAAAAAAAACAAGACAGAAATAAGTGAAATCCTGAGTATTTCGAACACCAAAATAGTAGATAGAAAATAAAAAGGAAATAATTTTTAAAACTAACGACACCGTCCAAAACAGCTAAGATCCAACTTTAACTAGGAATGATGCTATGACTAAGGAGATCAGGACTCAATTCCAACCACCACAAGAACAATTATGAAACAATTAACTACAGTGAAAACAAAATAAGCCTCGATTATATTCCAAACTGATAAAACTAAAGCCAAAATTTAAACTCGGAGAGATCAGAGCAGATATAACTTAAGATTCTGAAGTATAAAGCTGACACGCTGCCCATTCCGGAAAATTTGGAATTAACTGTATTCGAAATTAATAAAGACTATAGTCGAAATTAAGGGAAATTGGAGCCAGATAGAAGCTATTTGCAAATAACCAAAAACATCTTGAGATTAAGCGTAATTTGAAATTAACTCCAAGATTTGCAAGAACGAGGATGGACCAACAAAATGGTTCCACAGTTAACAATACATGCTATATCTAAAATTTTTACATAATTCACATTCTCGAATGCTAGTTAGCTTAACATTCCAAGGACTAAACACCCAATATCTCACTAACTTTACCCACAAACTCATTTAAACACCAGTAATTATGCTTGTCAAATGAATCAAACATTAAAAATTCCGATCAAAACTAAAACTTCACCGAAGCTAAATTCAGGTAAGAAGTTTAATGAGGATTCTTGAGACAACAGACTAAAAGAAGATAAAGAAATGAAATCCCATACCGAATAATCCACACCAGAAAAATTAAAGCAACCATCGAGGACACCGCGGCCAATGTCCACTTCTTATGTCTGAATATGAAAATTTTCGGATCAACTGTATTCTTCAAATTGCCGGTGTTTTATTTTTTCTTTCCTTTGTTCCAGAAGTTTTTCGACAACTTGGTTTCATAAAAACACTTTGAGCAAAGGAATGCTTTCAAATCAATTAAACATCAAAAGACTCACGCACGACGTAAATCGCTTGTAATGCATGGCTGCAAAGGTAAGCCTATGCAAAAATTTACCGTTTGATTTTGTATTTTGCATCGTTATCTTTTTCACCTTCTTCATTGAAATGTTTATGAAATTGAAGCAAATCATGTCGAAAGTTTAAGCTTTCCTAGAAAAAAGAGCTATCCAGAACATATATCACAATCACTAATCATAGATAACAACCCTATTGTTATTTTTAACAAACAATTCCATATCTTCTTAGTTTATTTCGTTTGAAAAAAGAAATTTCTTGACCCATTTTGTAGATTTACTACAAATATTTACTGCTTATTTTATTGGTTATATTACACAATGCTTGTTTGGACTCATTTACTATAATTAGCATAACTGCTACTTGTTGGCATATTTTGCACGACAAATATGAACGTTCATTGGACTTATTTTGCTAGCCTATTGTAAATGTGGTTCAGTTTATTTCGGAAGATTTTGTAATAGGGAAAAGAAAAAAAAGGAAAATGCAACTCATTAACATTAAATATTGCTTTGTCAGTTTGCCTAGCGCTTTTGGTACTTCTGAGACACCTAAGCGGACATTGTGCGACTTTGCCGCTCCTGCTCCAACCCAGTTCAAATCGATTCTCTATTATGCATTCTTTTCCACTGTTCCTAAGCGAAGGCGTTTTTGGTGGTACAAATGATTTTGTGGATGGCTAAAATTTAATTTCGAATTTGAATTTAAATATTATGCTCATGATTCATTAAAATAAGGACGAGAAAAGATGTGTTTCCATGATATTCGATCAGGATGT